AATCCACCGCGTTATTCATGAGATAAAGACAAAAGGCTATTACGTCATCGGTGTTTATATATTTCTGAGTAAGTTAATGAGATTCCTGTGCAAAAAACGTTGTAAAAGATCGATACTACACTAATAACCAGTGTTTTTTCGGAGAGATTTACTACACCGTACCTTCTATATTTATGCCTCCTAAGCGATCCTTTTAGAAAGTGGAGTCAATATTTCGGACCTGATTTCAGTCCAAAACATAGTTATTTTCTTGTATGTAGAGTTAAAATCACCCAAACAAAGAGAGAAAAGATCCAGAATTGGAGTAAACATAGAGTTAAAATAACCTCCAAACGTATCTAAGATTTTTACTGCACTTTTGGCGTTGAAATTACTCTTTTGAAAATTATTGTACAACCCTTGACCATCATTCTTACTTCAATTTCTATTTATACTGTTGGCACTAACAACTGAAACATTACCACACCGTTTCGTGACCATCTGCGACTTATTCGCCATGTTGGAGAACTGGTACGACTTATGACCGCAAAGGCTCTAGGGATCGTTTGGAGGGACAATAATTGAGTACACAGGGTTATTCTAAACCCTGGTGCATCAGAGTCTATAGGAATTCTTTAAAAATAAAAATTAGTTTTATTTCTGGAAGTGTAATAAAAAAATTGTAGTTTGGAACACAGCAATTGTAGTGCCCCATGTTTGTTGACTTCCTTCCTGTCACACCAAAAGATCCCATGAAGCTTTGTGGTATTATATTTTACCCCGTTTTTCACTCGTTTAGGCTAATGGCGAATAGCTATGGCCCAGGTGACACCCCACTAATGGCAAGACTAAACCTTGGACTGCTCTATACAGCAATATAATTGCACCAAATATGCATACACTCCTGACAAATCTTTGAATAATCTCCTCTGATCCTCGAAAATCAGGATGAGAGCGGGGTTCCCAAACTGGGTCAGTTGTCAGTTAAAATTTAGGCCATTTTTCAGTTGTCAGTAAACCCAATCCAGACCCTCATCAGACCCACCGCGCAAATAATGCTAGCGTTATATTCATAGGCTAATAAAGAAAAACTTGGTTTGTGTACTGTATGTGTACTTTATTGACAGGGAGATACAGGCAAGGATTGGGGAACCTCATCGTAACCTTCTCCATGTCCATGGCTGGTTAATACCTGAGCCCGGGGTTATTCATGTTTTAACGGAAAAGGCCGATACAGATGTGACCACCGCCCTTCAAAAGGGTCAGCTTTCTCTGAAGACCAGAATGAGGATAGCATTGGATGTAATCAATGGAGTAAAAGCGGTTCATAAAGCACTTTATATACATCAGGACATCAAGGCAGATTCAGTTTTGGTATGTTAAGGAAACGTTAACTTTTTCTGGGAGGAAGTCGTTAGTTGGAAAACGGAGAAGTGATGAGCAGTTGTTTTGCAAAAAGGGTGTTCATATTGAGCTGGCAGTTCAAATTTTAACATATTAGCTTAAGTTATCTTTCAAAATACCAAAATCTAGATTTGAACCAAACAAATTGAACTGCAGGAAAGCACTGATATTTTAAAGCGTGGAGTCTAAAGTACAACTTTGATTGACATGTAGCCTGCTGTCCCAGGCTCCATGATAGTGTTGCAGTCGTTTAGGTTTTTTTCGCGAGTACGTCGCCACCATCTGACAGCCTGGCAAAGACTAACTGACATAGCGTTAATAAGACTTACAAAAATTTAGCCGCAGGGGAAATTTTAAAGGGGAGTCGACGACTGTCGATTTGCTGTCAATATTTAAATTTATTTCATAATAATTTTGTTTCTCAGTGAGGTTTAACTGTCTCTGTTCTGTGAGCTTGAGATGGCTAATATTGTGTACCTTTTCCGTATAGTTCAACTAACAACCCACCCTTGAATCTGACCACTAATTAGTATTTATTTTTATGTTTACTTGATAACAGCTGATGAGAGACGGTACAGCAAAGATTAATATGACTAAACCTGAAAAGCCATTTGAACGGACGCGGCAGGGAACACCTTTTCATATCTCATTAGAGATGCATAAAAACTATGGTAAAGGTCTGTCAAGCGACTCGTCTTACGACATCTATGC